TTTCTCTTTCCTCCTGGTTTATACACGTTGGAGTAGATCTCTGCAAAGTCATGCTACTATAAGTGTTGGAACTGTAGAACAAAGGGACAGAGGCATGTTTTTGCAGGCTGTCAGTCAGCCATCTTTCACCAGCAAATGTATGTGGGGAGCAAAAGTACTCTTTAAAGTTTTTGACTATGTAGAAACTAATACTATTTTTAATTTTTAAATTTTTAAATACTTTTTAAATTTTTTTCTTCTTTTTTTCTTTTTCTTTTTTTTTTTTTTTTTTCCCCAGGAATAAGCATATCTGTGGAGGTACTTTGATAAAGGAAGAGTGGGTTCTAACAGCAAGGCAGTGTTTCCCTTCTCGGTACAGTAGTCTGTAGCTTTGCAATATTGAAATATATCTATTTTCAGGAACTTATCAATACAACATTTCTTCAATTTAAATGCAGCATTTTTCCCTCCTGTTTGGCTTTAGCACTGCTTTTCTGATGTAAAGGTCCTGTGGGACCTTGGTATTTTCTGTTATTATTGTTGTTAATCTAAAAGAGCTCTGGCTATTTTACATAGAAGTATAAATGTGTTTTCCAAGTGTAATAGTTAGACAATTGCCTCTTTATGAAAATAATCTCATGCTTCTGCTTAGCTGGACAGAATAAAACAGAAAACTTGGGTAAATCTCAAAAAGTTCAGAGGTTCATAATGTCTAAGGGTCTAAATGTGTGGATACTATTAGGAAAAAAAATTAGATTTTACTAACAGTTAAAGACAAAATTGTGTAGTGGCTTCAGACCAAAAACTTACATCCGAGCATGTTGATTTTGGAATAGCAGCTGACAGCATATACCTATTTCTGGTGAGGAGCATTAGTTAAGATCTTCTAGCATAATCATAGAATCATAGAATCGTTTAGGTTGGAAAAGATCTTTAAGATCATCCACTCCAACCACTAACCTAACATTACCAAGTCCACACTAAACCAAGTAATCATATTAAGCAGAGTTTTTTGTTACTTTGTTATACACTCAGCAAAATCCTAACCAACTTTGCCTCATTTAGGTACAAAGATTTGAAAGACTACAAAGCCTGGCTTGGAGTCCATAATATCAAAGGAAAGGGAGAGGAAAAGCATAGACAAGTTCTGAATATCTCCCAGTTGGTATATGGCCCCTCAGGGTCAGATTTGGTCTTACTGAAACTTAGCAGGTTAGTAGCTATTCTTGCCAATTCCAGGATTTTCAAGTGATGAATGAGATTCTTGCTAAACAAGATTTGCAAATTCAGTTCTCTGCTATCTCTGATACTGCAGATGATGTCTCCATGGGGTAAACTTCCAACTGTAAGAAATTTTGCTTGATATATGGAAATGCAGGTTCATCTACCTTACTCAGAAAACAGATGTTACTTCTGAAAAATCGTGCCTACACTTTTTTTTCCTGACAAACAAGTTTAGGTTTGTTGGGAGAGTTTTTTTGTTGTTGTTGTTTTTTAATTATTTTTTCTTTTTTAAATAACCAACCCACATTGTATAAGGTTTATAAGGTTGTATAAGTATAAGGTTTTCATTTATAGAATAAGCACCGGATTGTAATTGAGATGCTTTTGTACATATGAGCTTTCAAACTTTCTCCATATTAGCAAAACTATATATTCAAATGAAATGCCATCATTACTTACTTTTAAGATGAAAACCCAAGTTAAATTGCATAAAAATGGTGACAGCATTTCAAGAAATCTTTTGACAGTTAACAGCTGTAGCACAAAAAATAGGCAGAAGAATCCATCATATTATTCAAAGACAGAAAAGAAAGGAAAAGTATTGGCACAGTTTTTAATTGCTGTGGTCTATAGTAGGTGTAACGTCATTTTTAAGATGCATTTTAGAAGGTTAAGTAAAATCTATTATATCTACTATTTGTTTTTTCTTTTCAGACCTGCCATATTGACAAATTTTGTAGAAATAATCCGATTGCCCATTTCTGGATGTACCATTCCAGAGAAGACCAGTTGCAGTGTTTATGGATGGGGATACACTGGATGTAAGAAACTATTTTTAAAAACTAAATGAATGCGTTGACAGCTTACTTCCTCTTGTCATTATAGGTGAGGCTGCTGGTATTGCCTGATGCCATGGTTATCCAACACTTTTTGTTATAAAATGCAGTTTCAATATTTTTCTAATTTTGTAAATCTTTGAGCATTTTGTCTAAGATCATTTAATATGAAATATTTTCTGCTGTTTTTTTTTTTTTTTTTTTTTTTTTTTTTTTTTTTTGGTCTCAGTAACAGGCAAAATGATTCAAATATTTCAAAGAATGAACCAGAGAAAAATATTGTTTTACATGTCTAAAAAGTCTGGCAGAATTGTTCTGCAGAGTTCTAACCCTTTTTTGAAAAACCCTGATTCATCTACTTGAGCAGTCTCTTTCTGTATCCCAAAGCAGGTTTCCGTGTGGAAAAACTAATGCAGAATCCTGTAATCATAATTACCATACACAAAGATAGTGAACTAAGGATGCAGAGGCAGCCCTAAGTCTGGCATTTCCTAACTTTTGAGTACTTGACTTTGCAACCTTACTTATGTTTACTGAACACAGTTTTTGTGTGAAGTAAATACAAATATGTGGGAGAGCAGACGTTTATTTAGTCTGGTAAATACTATATCTGGCTAATTACGTGTTGATGATAAAGTTAATAGCTGCCAGTTGACAATAATTACTCCAATAATTACTGTGCTCAAATGTCATTTTGCCACAGACCCTGAGTAAGCAGCAGCAACATACTCACGCTGTCCTCAAAGCGGAGCAGAAGCTAGACTGTAATTCTGAGGCTCTCTTCCTTGTAACCATTACTCCGCATTTCTTTGTGGGTGGCAAGTAATCTGTACCAGCCCTCTCCTAGATGATTGCTTTTGATGTTCCCAGCATGGCCACATTAGCCATCCTCTGCAGGGAATGGCTCTCTGGGGAACTGGGAAGTCGGGCTGGAGCACAGTGCAGCGTAACAGGAAAGCTTAGCTTAAGAGAACTGATAAGGAATTTGCAATGTTGTGGAGTTATGTAATAAACACATAACATCTGTAATCCAAGGACTTTGTGCTATATTTTATGCACTACTTCATATAATCCTCACAGCATCCTAGTCAGGGAAGAAAGAAGTGTTACATCCATTTTTCTGTATTCAAGAAAGCAGGATAACAATTCAGTGAAGGGCAAGCTTGGCATTTTCTTTTGATGGCTGTGCAGGGAACAGGCAGGTCCAGGCCCTTTATTTATCTTTGCAGCTTGTACAGGCTTGTCTTTCGGCATGTAGAACAAGAACAAGCTCCACAGGGCTTCTGCTTCCTGACCTTCACACTGATGAATGGAGATTGCACAAAGCTGCGGCTCTGCCCTTGCAGGCACAAAGTCATTCAGTGTAGCTGAGCCAGCACAGAACGAGAAAAACTCTGCTCTGCTACAGTATTTTTCAAGTCGCACGTCCTTCCCTAGGCCACGGCAGGCACTGTTACTCATTAACTCATGTTTAAGGCAGGGAGCAAAATCCTCACTCAACTGATGGGAGTGACAACATTCTGAGGCTCATTTTTTCTGATTTCTGTGATGTGACAGGGCAAGCTGCTGGTGGACTGTAGAGTAAACCCAGTTACCTAGTACTTTAATACAAAAAACTTCTCCAGATATTGTCAGACAACTCAACAGACATGCACACCAAACAAATTTCTTGCAAATCTCATTTGTAGCAAATATAAGAAATCCAAAAGACAAATGCATGATAACAGTGAAGCTGAACAAAAATGTGAGTACTGGAGAGAAAGTACAGTAACTGAAGTTACATGATTAAGTTTATCCAGACTGCATCTTCAATTTTTTTTTTTTCACTTAAAATAGAATAAAGTTCTCATTCTTTTTTCAACCCTAGTAATTAACTATGATGGCCTTCTCCGGGTAGCAAACCTGTTTATTTTGGGTAATGAGAAATGCAACCAATATCTCAAAGGGAAGATCACTGTAAATGAGTCAGAAATCTGTGCTGTCGCTGAAACCATCGGTGCTGGACCTTGTGAGGTAAATATTACCTTTCCTAATACATTCTTAGGAGCCTTCAACCTGGCTATTTCTTTCCCAGAAATAATTTACTAGCGTTTTTGTATAATTATTTTCTCTGCATTAAACTAGTGCCGCAAAAATTATTTTAATCTTTTGCATTGGAAAACGATTTGTGTTTCTAGTGATCTATGTTCTGCCAGAGTGCAGGAAGACATTCCTTTGCTTCAGTTTTGCCATACCACCACACCAGTAAAGGATTCACGTGAATGTTATATATACTCATGTGACTAAACACTTTTCTAGACTGAGATAAATTTGTGTTCTGTATAATAAGGACAAAAGTGGGCTGTGTGCTAAAAACAGCAGTACATTTTGATTGAGTAGAAAGCCAAGGCTGGAGCAAATTTAACTACTTACTTAGATGAGGACTTGCATGCAAAATACCAAGTCAGTGCTCAACAGAGTTGATAAAATTATGAAAGAAGGTGAAAGACTAAAAAATGTACTGAGGTTCAGTATTAGCCAGAAGGCTGGAGCATTTGGTATCTCTAGTCAAGCCTGAGCAACATATCAGTGAGGACAGGAGAACTACTTCAGTGAAAGTATAGTTTGATACAGTAGTTTTGCTTGGGAATACTTTTGATGAAAAGACATCCGAGGAGAAATGCTGTAAACCATTTATTACAAGAAGACATTTTTTGTGTGAAAAATCTGCCTGATGAGATGATGTCTAGAAGGAGGGCAGTCATAAATATTATTATGTATTTAATATCTGGAATAGAGCAGATGATTTCCTAATACTGATGTTAACCAAGCTGTGAAATTGTCCCTACCCAGGGGTACTACAAAAGCATGGGGAAACGAGGTCTTCATCAGGCTGAGGCCTCTTCCATTTATTATTAGTATTCCAATGAATCATTTTGTTACTGCAAAGTATTTTCTTCAAAATCAAATATTTAATCATAAATGAACTCTTAGACACGTCAAGGCTTATAAATGAAACATCTGCATGGAAATCTGCTGGGGATCCTGCACTTTGTTGTCCCCCGCAAGAAGAAATGGACTGAATTAATATTAGCAATCAGTCTTAATCACTGCATGGTTTCCTGGTCCCTGAGTTTCCCTTTGAAGCTACTTTTCTCAGCAGAAAACAGACAGAGAAAAAAAATCAGATTGGCAGGTGAAACTCCACTCCTGAAAATGTTTTATGAGCCGCTCTGATGGTACTGACATAGTTCATTGTTCATGTGGGAACTACTCTGCCGTCAGTCAGAAAAAAACCCCAAACCAAATAAAGGTCAAGCATTGTTGTTTCTCTGGTGATCCGGAGAGAATACAATGCTAATTGTCAGCTTTTATTTTTTGAAACAATGCCTCACTATCCAATTTGAACATTTACTGTCTAGTTTTGTAGCTAGTTTGCTAGGTTCAGTATACATTTTGCCTGGGTAAAACCTGCAGAATCTATGTTTAAGTCCCAAATCTATGTGAATGCATCTAAATTACCATTTAAAACTAATTTAAACTGGATATGTTTTAGTGTTAAATAAGACCACAATTTGAGTTGGTCATACTCCAAATTTTCACTGAATGCTTGTACTGGTTGGTGCATAGATGCCTCATTCACTCAGAATAATGAAAAATAGTGTTTTAACAAGTTATGTCTCAAAATTCTGTCTGCAAAATATTACCTTTTATTATGGTTGGGATTTCCCCATACGCCTTCACCTATTAGTAGACATAGATTCTCATCCTGAAGCCTTGCAACATGATTGACTGGCAGAAGGATATTAACCTGGCTCTGTCAGTAATCTTTGATGCAAAGCCTGTTATCACAACAAAGATGTTTATCAGTCAACTCACTTTCTGCTCTTCTGGTTTATATGCACATAAACAAATATTATGCTTGCAGGTAGCTGAAAGAGGAGAGTAAGATCTGGTAGTCTGAAGTCACTAGAATCACACGCAAAGATGGATCATAGGGTTTAATTTGCATAGGAAGCAACTGAAAGTCAAAGGCCAACCTTGACATTGGTTCGCATAAATTCTGGTTGTGAAAAACATATTGGAAGCTTGTTTTTGTCCTATGGCAAGAATAACTCTGTTGCCTGTTCATTGAGTTAGGTCATCCCCAAATGAAACCAGTCAGCAGGAGACAAGTGGGAGCTGTGTCTTGAAGCATTTTGAGAAGTGACGTTCTTTATGTTTATTTTTTCCTAGCGAGATTATGGTGGTCCCTTGGTTTGTGAACAGAACAGGCTGAAGATAGTAGTTGGTGTCATTGTTCCTGGGCGTGGATGTGCCATCCGAAACCGTCCTGGGATTTTTGTTCGGGTCTCATATTACTCCCGGTGGTTACACAAGATTATGATGACCTACAGAAAACCCTGAAAAACTCAACAACTTCCATTCAAAGAAAGATTTTGGACAACATGGAATTAATATGTAATGTAAAGATCAACAATTTTTTAACTACTTGACAGTCAAGTTTGTTGAGCTTCTTTTAATATTTATGGGTGTTTTTAGCGTTTTTGTCTATCAATGTTGTTTTATAAATGTTAGAGTGGCTTACAGTATATGCAAGTATGGTGACATATCTCCTGAAGATACTTGAATGGGTAAACACTTTTGCAAAGATATTATTACTGGATGATAAAAGGTTTTGTAGAAATAGATCATATGACCTCTTTTATGCTGCTCTTCAGATTATCTTAGAAGGAGAAACAAATTATAGTTTTATTTAACACATCTTAGTCTTTCTATGAGCCATATATTTCTCTTTGTACATGACAAAAGCCCTACTGAGAGATATATGCATATGCCAAGGACAGCATATATGATCATATTTCTCTTCCCCGCTTATAAGAGGTCAAAGATTTCTATGTTTCATTAAAAATAATTTCTTTAGAAATTATTCTTTTCATTATTGATGGACTTTGACATGCCTGCCATAAGCAGAGTTCTCACAGAAGTCAATATCACTTCCTTTTACAGTGTTTATAGACTCTAGTTCTGCACTTGGTCCCTTCCTTCAGTGTGTATGTGGTCCCCTACCAGATATCTCAAAAACCCTTTTGGATGAGGGAAGAGACACAGAAGTGGATTGGTTAGCAAACTATCAATCATTCAGTTGATTCCTGTTATTTCGTGAAAGTAACTCTGTATTTACAGCAGGAGAAAAATAGTTGAATCTGGCACCTGGCTGAGAGACTTAATACTGGGAAAAGTAAGTTAAACATTAATAGCCTTTTCAGAGACTTAAGACCTTTAATAAAAACTTACCTAGATTTGGACAAAATTATATGCTTTGTATAATTCCTTTCAGGGTAATAAAATTATTGCAGAGATTGTTATGTCTTGATTGTAATATGGAAAACGTCACCAACAGTTTAGTGGCTTGTTTCCTGCCAGTATGTAGAACCATCATTTTCCTTTATGTCAACAGGGAAAGGGAACAAATAATCAACATCTATGAAAAGTGCTTGTTCTCCTTTAGGCATTTAGTTGCATGGATGGAAGTATTATACAAATATGTTGTTAGAGGTGGCACCAATTACCTTGCAATTTCTGCAAAATTGACACAACATATATCCATTTGTTCATTTTACTACTGTACCTGTAATTGCATAAGTAACTGCACTGTTACTTCATTTGTGACTATGTAATTCTATATGTTTCCAGTAGCAAATTGTATGGTCTGTGTATCATATCTAACTGCATAGCCGCTAAGCTGACATCATGGTGTAGACATATAAAAGGACATTTCATTCAGAAGACACAGGGTTGAATTCTGCCCTGGCAGAAAGTAATCACTTCAGGGGAGCTGTCTTGGGAGGCAGCCCCCATGTTGACTCACCAAATTATTTTCTTCAGCAGTGCACTTTGACTTCAGTGGGTCTCAAATATGCTTACATCTCCTGGTGAACTGGGATGAGTTTCAGCCCATGATTAGTGGCTTGGCTTGCTGAGATTTGTGTCAAGCATCCTGCCGATTCTACTGGCACATAGGAAGAAATCTTTCAGCAAGCAGAGCTTCTGAAATTCCTCCTGATGTACATAGTCTCTTTGGACAAGATGTGATTTCTCTGTACAGCGGATCTGACATTGTGGATGCTACACAGACAGTCTGTCTCGATCTATTCTGGCTGCCTCTGAAGGCTTTGTGTTCATTTTGGGCTCTCTTACTTACCAGGCCTAAAGAGGGCAGGATTTAGCCTGTTGTATTTACAGTTAATTATTGCCATGTATGTGAAGAGTGTATTCTTGCTAAGTGTATACTGACCATATCTTATTGAAAGGATTAACTTTTTAAGAGAGACTTTTAAAAAACTCTGAGTGAGTTTTGTTTTCAGTCACAAGTAGAATGTGGATAAAATATATAATTCCATGTTCACTCTCTGTATTCTAAGAATTGTTATGTGCTCACTGTATTATATTTGCAGGCATTTTGTTATGTCTAGCTAAAAAAAATTGAATCCTAAAATATTTTAGTTATAAGCTTCTGCTGTGCAGAAGACTGATTTTTATATATATATATACACATATATATATATGATTAAAATGCTGGTTTTTGTTAGACAACGTGTAAGGATTTTTACCTGTTTGTTCTGGGCAGTGCCTCAGTAAAATAAATTGTGCAGAGTGGGTGCTCCAGAACTTAACATGTTTGTATGCACTTGCTTATCATGTGCTCTTGCTCTCCCTATCTCAGTATGGAGGGCACATGAGACTCTGAAGAGCAAGGGAAGAGAAGATTAATGATATGTGGTAATGAATTTGTACTTCATTTATTCCTGTGAATATTTCTTGTTGGTACCAATGGTACCGTACCAGGCAACTGTTATAACTACAGGATTCTCATAAGAAAGGACACTCTATAGATATTTTTTCACTGTTCTAACATTTTTCTCTCTGTAATAACAAGGGAACCTGATCTATTGCCCATCTAAATTATTGGAAAACCTCTTACTAACTTCAGTGAGATCTGGACTTTACTTCGTAGATGTGATTTTATTCATATTAGAACTAAAGGATACAGAACTTAAATACTTATCTAAGGACATTCTTAAACTCCATTGAATTTAATCTTCATTCTCCTTGCTGTAACTAATCCTTGGTCTCTGAAAAGTAACAACTGGATAAAAAATTTTGGGATTAAAACCTAAGAGCTGATTTTGTGCTACTGAAGTTAGTTTGACCTAATTACTGATTTTCTTTGGGCATTGGGACTGGCTGACACTTCTTTTCAGTAACAAAACCATTTTTCCTTTAAAAAAGCTTTTTTCCCTATCTCTTTTTCTCTCATAAACCTCATGACCCTCAGAGAAACTGTAGCTCTCATTGGGAATGTACTGGTCTAGATTTTTGCTGCTGCTGCTGAAATCTTCTTCTCTAGTTTAAGATTAAAATTCTTTGAGGCATTCTGCAAACCCTTGCTGCGGGTAATGCCAATGTACTTGACAGAGCTACTCACTTGAGTTAGAGCTTTTCAGACGAGGGTCCAAATATATCTCTGAGGGTCAAAATCTACTCAGGCAAAATGTCCCTTGAAATCAGCGAATGTGATTGTCAAAAGAGTGGGGGCTGAAAGTTGCTCAGTGCTTTTCCCTATGGCAGTGCACTGAACTACATGCATCCTTGTACACTGAAAAGCACAGAGATTCTCAACTCCATGGCAACTGCAACAGGAGGTGAGGCTTTATTGCCATCCTTCTGGAAGGCTGGTTGTAAACTTGTTGACCCCCATGGAACCTGTATGAAACCTATTGGATTGGTTGTTTAGCCTTGTTTCCTTATCAATTATTTTCTTCCTCCCTCACGTGCACTGGTATATTATTGTTTTATGAATGTTGGGGCTGCTGGCAGGAACTAACATGGCTTTTCACCATAATATTTTACAGTGTTCCTTTTTAAACATGTTCTTGGGCATTTATGTATGGTATTTCCCTGCATGGGACCTAACCAGGGAGCTGCCTGTGGAATTCAGTGTATGATAAGAGTATTTTTTCATATTTAAGTGGGAAAAATAATGCTCCCATTAAATACAACTAGCTGAATGCCTAATGAAAAGGGAACACTGTGGTTATAACTTGTATTACAAATCTTCTGTAATTAATGGCATCTTCATTAGTTAATAAAGTTGGTATTTTTGTAACCTTGTTTACTCTTATTATTCTTAATAAAGTATTTTATAAAAAACAACAGCTTAATTAGCATCATATTTCTTACTTAAAGAAGAAGGTTTGGAACCCCATTGCTAGACTCCCAATTCTAATTTCAGTGAGGGATTTTTAGTGTGCAGAGTAAGGAAGACTGGTACTTTAAAGATCTTCGTGTGTCCAACAGCAGAATTGCACATAAAATGAAAGATACAACCAAATCCATGCTGTGATCCTGCTGAGTCTCCCCAAGAGCTTCCTGATGGAATTCTGCACCAAGAATGGCCTAAGTGTATCACAGAGAGAGCATATTTGCAGTGGAAAGGGTGTGCTTAACCTAAACATGAATATTTGCCAAGTGGTTTGTAGTTCCTTACAATTTCAGTATGAGAGGCTTGGAATTTTAAATATTTCTTTTAATATACTTTATACTTCAGGAAAGGGTTTCCCTCACTGTGTCAGTTAGTACTACTGGCAGTACGTAAGATGATGCAAAGGAGACCAATAGCTTGCGCAAACCTAGGTGCTGCTGCTGCACTTAATATCAAAACCAGCCAACAGCAATACCTAGCAAAAGAGGAAACAAACAACACCCTTACTAGCCCCACCAGATTAGTGCCTCTGTCCAGTCGAGTACTGTCAAGACCTGGTGTCATTCTGGTTAGGTAAGTTCAAATAAGGGACAATAAGTTATTACTTCTTTTTCATTATCCAGATGAAATTTCAAAGTTCTAAGAATTTCTGGTTTCACTGAATTTTTGACGATTTTGACGGTACACTAACAACTCCAGTTATATCAACAGTGAATCATTCTTCAAGTAAACTCATGTACAGAGTGTTTGAAGTCTGATTCTAAATTTTCCATGGTAAACATCAATTTCTTTTTGTTCATAGTCCAAAAAGAATATTTCCTAATTGATTCATAGAATCAGTGGATTTTATCAGGAACTCCTGAAATCAATGGGAGACTTGCCAATAACTTAATACTTCCAAAGTTACAAAAATCTAGAAATAGCCCATATGTCAAAACTATATCTTGTTATAGTTTTACATGCAAAGTGTTAAGGATGTTCAGGTGACCTGTCTACCTCCTGGGAGTCATGAGAATTAACTGCTTGTACAGTAATTTGCACAATAAAGGTCTATAAAGGGGTATTGCCTTCATATCACATTCTGTTATGGCTTTATCTTTTCTACTTGCAAGAACACTATAATCTGCAGATGACAAATGATGAAAACCCACATTGATGCTCAGTACTTGTATTTTGCTCTTTGTTATTTAACAAGCCTCGTGTAAACAGAGCAGGCCATTTAATAGAGTTCAGTTGTATATCTACTCTGCCTTCAAAAGCACCGATTTCTGGACAACTATGTTCCAAAAAAACCATGTGCAATAAATAGGAAAGAAAACAGCTGGGAGGAAAAAGGAAAACCATAAAAAAGTTAATATCAAAGTAAGCCCTAAAATGAACAGATAATTTTTTCTTCATGTTGTCTCAGTGTTTATAACGTAGGATATATGGTGTGAAAAGCTGCAACAGAATAGCTTAATAGCCTTAGCTTTTCTAAAGCTGTTTCACTTTAGTTCAGAACACTTGGGAAGTTGCAATGACTTTTCCATATGGTTACAGAGGATGCAGTGCAAGTTGTGTTTCTGTGCCTGAGGACCTGATCCTACTTGCATTGTAATCACTGCCAAAACTTCATCTAGGGCTAATGGCTAGGTCCTAAACCCTCCTTCTGAACCCCTTCGACCTTGTCATGGGGCTGTGTCAGATCCTGACTTAATCAACCACCCAGGGGATGTTCCAGACTGGTACTGAGTGACAGAGGAGAAAAGCATATGTTTTACTTTAAACATGGACATCAAAGTTCCACTGCAGACTATCAACTTTGCTCAGTCAGAGCCTAATTGAATATAAGGATTGGATGATTTTCTTACTATGCAAATATTTTTAGTTATAATAATAATAATTAAAAAAACATTATGGATGCAGTTACTATTAATGTAGGTTTTA